GGTCAGTATACTTATGCTATAAGTGGACGAGCCTGTTCTGTGTTGTGTTAAAATATACATTCGCTTGTTTGGCAGTTTGTGATCACTGAAAACTTTCGAAAGTTATTTTCTAATGTCTTTCATTGAAAAATCGTATATGACACTGCCTAAATTGTGGAATGTGGCAAAACATGTGCCTCTGACGTTTAACCCGAGTGGCTGCCTGCACCCGACATCCAGTGGCATAGTTTGGCATGAGAAAACCATCATAATTGGGTTAAGGACTGCACCTTTATTGATGTATAACTGGTGATGGACCGTTCTCGCATTATGTGTAAAGGAGATATTCACTGTCACTATTTTTTTAAATTTCAGGTTTTAGTCCTGAGGGTCTTATGTATATTATCTCATTCCTTTCCCAGGATTCATAATTAACCTATTTAATATATTTTTATTTTTATTTTTAGGGCATCCACATACAGTTTTCAGCTTCACTTTTAGTCTATTAAATTTACATGATACCTTTTCTCTTTACGTCTTTTTTTAGGTCACTACAGTCTGTTGACAGCTCTTACTCATATAAAGCAAACAATATTTACACACCCGTGGGCTTCTGTGCACTGCGAAGGGTAATTCCACCATACCATTTCTTCCTTCATGCCAGCCAACCAAGTGGCAGGGAGCGTATTCTGGAATGAAGTTAAACTCAACTGAAAGTAAAGAAATAACATCTCTTGGCTTACTCTTGCTATAGGAAAACAACCTGCAGCACATAAGTGCCCACCGTTCGGTCAAAAATACTCCAACTTTTATAGATGCAAGCATTTAGGGAGATATAACGCCCACCATTCCTCTAAACTCCTACTTTTCTCAAACAAAAACTGAAAAACTACATGCAACAGATAACAAACAAATTGTGTTTTTGTCACACAATTCCGTGGGCTGTGATTCATGATGAATATTGCCGCCTACCCGTTGTTGTTGTTGTTGTTGTTTTTTCTTTCTTTTCTTTTCTTTTAAGCAAAACAAAATTTGATCCCTGGGAATGAAAAACCTCTTTGGTGAATTCGGTAACTGTGATAATTGGGCCCGAAAGTGATACAGAAAAATAAAAAATGAATCACACTTTTATAAAATAACCAGCATTAGTGAAGGAAATGGGTACAATCCTGTATGAATCTAATAATGATGAGTACAAGTCATCATGCATCATCAATGGGTGAAAACTTACATGCTTGCTGTGGCAAAGACCTATAAAGCTCCACCAGACTTGGCTTTTCGGAATGTTCCTCTTTCACTCCCACACATCCTACTATCCTGTCCCCACCCGTACCTCTGCTCTTCCTCATTTATTCTCACTTTTCCGCCCCCCCCCCCCCCCAACCTATTGGACATCCTCTCAGAATCCCCTACCTTTTCCTTAGACAACTTATTCTCCTTCCTCAGACGCATAAATATCTTCCGTTTAATCTAATTGTTCTACCCATTTAACTCCTCCCCTTTCAAGTTAACCTCTAATATCCCTAATCATTAACTCATTCCGTAGTATTTTCTTTATTATTCTTTACTATAGTGCTATATAACCATGATATTTAGGATATTTATTTGTTTTAACTATTAACCATTAAATAATGAACTAGTCCAGGCTCTGTCTTGCCAAATTACACACACTGGAGCATAAAGAGTCCATGACAATCACGATGCAGCCCCATACTGGTCACATTTATCTATACTGCCCATTGTAGTTTTATTGTGAAGCTTGTTGTACATAGATGGGCCACAAGTGTTCAGCCAACAAGGAGCTCCCATATTGCCTCATCTGGTTTCTCTATTCTTTAAGTTATCAGCAAAAGTGTTGTTGTTTTTTAATATCGATACTGTTATCATTATTATTGACATGATTATAATATTAAAATACTAATTTCCATGAAAAATAAATATCCTTGACATGATCATTATATCATTAAAATACTAATAGCAAATAAAGAAAAGGAATCTGAAAATCAAGGAAAAGGGTAGGGCTAGTAATTGACTCCTTGGTGACTAAGTGTTTGTGGAGCCATCTATGTGTGAGTGCAATTAATAAACTAAAATCAGTGAACATGGAACATGCCATACCAGCACAGTGGCTTAAAGAACCATGTTAACTACTTGAATAATACGCGGTCTAACTCTCCTTTAAATAAAATAAAATACATTCTTCAGGATCTTCACTCAGGAATTTGGAATTTTATTGGAATTTCTTGTCCATTTAACGCAGATTTTGTTACAAGCTTAAAAAAAAGAGGGGGCGGTTCTAACTTGATTATTCTTAACCTAAATTATACAGCACACTAAGAACTATGTTCTTACAGAACAAATCATGATCATAATTAGTCCCCTAGTACAGTATTGTACTAATGCCTTTCTTTCCTGTAGTGGGTTTACTAAAGCTTGATTTTATCCTGGAAGCCATATATGTAGCACTTATTACAAGGTAATAAATACTTACCCCATTTGATACATGAACACGAACATTTGAAATATGAAATCTTGAAAGGCCTCTGAAGACGTGCTTGTACAAATTAAGTAAAGAGTGCCCTGTCCTTCCCAAGTTCTAAACAAGTGACATTAATAAAAAGCTCAAGGACAGATGTAATACTTCTAAAATGTTTTGCACTGCATATAACTACAATAATTCAATCAGTTAACCTTCAACACCTGCTCAATAAAAACCTACATATCACAATATACGATATATGCATTTTTTTTTTTTTTTTTTTTTTACATCATTCTCTCCCTCAAAGTCCAGGTAATAACGGTCCTTGTGCACTAATAAATCATGATTTTGGCCTTCATCATATCAGTGGACAACTCTCTTGTTCTGGTGGAGAACTGGCTTGGAAAAAAACAATTGGATTATTTTCTTTACTTGAATAAAAAATAATTTTAGTCACTGATGAACTTTCAAATTGTATTTCTAAACTTTAAATTAGATCTTTTTCTTTTACTTCTGATATTCCACAAAGGGGAGAGATTTTGTAAGCTTATTTACTGCGAAAATTTAAGTAGTCAAAATACCCTTTCCCTCAATACCATTGATATTGAGTAATAATTACAATGCCGTGTATTCACTATTTTCAGATTAAACTATATAGCGCACTCATGGGTGATATCCATTTTTTATACAACTCTCTTTCTCTTTGCGCGCGCGCGTGTATGTTTGTGTGTGTGTGTGTGTGTGTGTGTGTGTGTGTGTGTGTGTGTGTGTGTGTGTGTGTGTGTGTGTGTGTGTGTGTGTGCGTGCGCGCGTGTGTGTGTGTGTGTGTGTGTGTGTGTGTGTGTGTGTGTGTGTGTGTGTGTGTGTGTGTGTGTGTGTGTGTGTGTGTGTGTGCGTGCGCGCGTGTGTGTGTGTGTGTGTGTTTGAGCGGTTACCGTCGCCCTTTCTCTCCTCTCTCCATCTCCATCCGTGAAAGAGTAAGGCCAGTAAATATGCGCCTGATTTATTCTTTAAAAAAATCTATATATTCATTGCTTAACAACCAAACATGTGTAAAAGAAATAACATGCACCACCTTGCAGAATAGTAAGAAAAAAAAAAAAAAAGTCATGGCGAGTTCCGTTACACCAAAATTCATTGCAGCAGCCTTCATTCCAACCCTGACTCCATTACTGACAAATTTCACGCCGTAATTGATTACGCCCGCCGCTACTACGAACAGTGCTGTAGCTTTATCAAAGAATAATTCAGTTATTATCAATCATAGCACGGTTTAGTACATCCACTATTTTTGTTACTATGGCAACAGCTGATAAAAGGTCTTGAAAATTGACCCAATGCTGCTGGGAATGGCATGTACAGTCAGAATAAAGCAAAAACAAAATAATAATAATAATAATAATAATAATAATAATAATAATAATAATAATAATAATAACTATCGTTACCCTTACTTGTGGTCAATGAGGAACTGAGCGTAATTATGTGTTGTGGGCGGGGCACTCTGTTGGCCCCTCCCATGGCTGGTGTTCCCATATGACGATCTTTTTAAATATTTGAGGATCGAGACTGATGAACCTGATATTTGAAGCGTGCTTTTCGATAACCATGCGTTGTTGTGTCTACGTATTTATAATAGCAATCATCTATAATGAATCAAATTATTAAACTGTTATTAGTATACACGGGTCTAATGTCAAGCGAAATACAGGACTTCATGACCTCTGATGTCCGTGGTTTGTATATATCTGGAACGGGTTTGAAATGCTTCAAAAGGGGGTATAAATGCTGCAAATGGACTGGCAAATGATTCACCCCCTGATTGTGGTGTTGCAATGTCCGCCTAAATCAAAACATTTAAACCCCATAGAACGTGTTTGGGCAGCTATGGGAATGTAATGCCGCAGTCGATTTGGCGTCATGGAAAATCGCATTGCATTCATGAGCACGGTTGCGCAGCGATGAAGGGTAAAATACGGTGACGGCTGATGGAGGGAATACAAATGGTTGAAATTATAAAGCCATATTATTGTCCTTTTAATCAATACATTAATATTGAAGAACAGACATATAACATTATAAAAGACACTTATGTTAACAGTTGAACTCCATTATACTCCGAGATGGTTGATCAGAATTAAACATGGAAAATAACATTGGAAGACATGACCGATTATTTGTCACATAGAGCCACAGCTGACATTTCAAAAAAGAGAAAAACAAATGATGAATACCAGATTTTTCACATGTGAAATTATCATAATTTTGAGAAAGGCATTGCGTAATAAAAAAAATCGAAAAGTTTCCTTGATATAAAGAACGTGACTGAACACTGAATTCGACTTGACTCTCACATCCCAGGAGGGATATGCACGAAATCATAGAAGACGGAGAACTTAGGGAATAAGTGTAGACATTCATAGAAATAAACTATTAAAGAGTATCCACACAAATTCAACATATATCCATCTCTTTCTTGGCTCTAAACAAGAAATTTAAACTTCAACGGAAACGTACCCTCGGTCAGCGCATTACATAATTA